CAGCCATTGTCACCCTCGATAACTGCTCGGTGCCCATCGACGATGATGTGCATAAGTCGTTCAATGGAATGCATGAGAAACATCTCTTACAGTGATGCCGCCGCCATCAACTACATGCAGCTGCGGCACCTCGCATCCTCTGTCCATACCCTCACAGGACAACGTCTACCTCGCTGCCTACAACTGCAAACCACTGACGTTCTCTAATTGTTCTCTGATTCAACCACCTCTAGCTAAGCTATGCCAACAACTATTCGTTCAACTCGGTTCATCTTATCCAAATTCTCGGGTCTATCCACCTTGAGTTTGATGGGGGTGTTAAATGTAATAGTTATGCATAATTGTATCGCTTATTTTAGTGTGCCATTGGTTAGAACTTCTTTTTTTTTTTTTGCTCTTGTATATAAATACTTCAATGCAATGAATGGAATGATCTTTTTTCTTCCCAAAGACTCTATACTTATCATGAGAAATAGCAAACGTGTATTATTTATGGATGACTTGTGTGTGAGATGATGTGTGCACGTATATTACATGATATCAACGATAATGAGTTCAAACGGAGTGGAAATCAACTTAAAACTATAACTCAGCAGGCATAACTCATCGACAAGCATTTTGTACATTAATGAGCAAGTGGTCATTGATGAGCAATGTTCTCATCTATGTACCTGAAACTGTATCATGGACTTCTTAACATCCTATCGATGTAAATAATGTTGGCATAGACCCTTCACCCATTGATGAGCAAAGGAGAAGCCCATCAATTTAAAGAACTTCCCCATCGATCCAAAAATTATATGTTGCCCATCGATGAGCACTTGACCTATCGATGAACATATATATTGCCCATCGATGAGTCTGAGTCCATTCAACAGCTTTCCGAGATCTAATCTCAACCATTCGTTGCAGCTGCTACGCCCTTTCTCGTATCACAATTGAGCTAGATATCATTGACTTTATTTCTAAGGAAAAGAAGGAGAGGAAGGGAGGGAGCCTAGGGTTTGAAGATTGAAGACTTCTTAATTATCAGGATCATCCTGAAGCGTTCTCGATTATGTCATCATTGTGTTTTTCATCATTGGACAATATCCTTCGATGAGTGTTGCCTTCGGATCATCACATCTATCTTCGTTCTTCTAGATCAGAATCTTTTAGACTTTGAAGAACAATTTGATCATTCAAAGCTATAAGTATTTTTAATTGCGCTTATTTGATATTTTTTATAGTAAGCAATACATTCTCTACAATTGTCATTAGTTTTACGATGTACTCAAGTCGGTATTAATTAAGGGTTGGTTTTACTCGCTAAAAGCTAGCTAGGGTACATACTAGTGATAGGATTGTTTGGATATAGACGACTAGATTAGGGTTTGATCTAGGGAGTGGTATTGTAACGCTTAATGGATTAGGGTTTGTAATCCATGAGCATAATTATCACAGTGTGGGAGCCGCTTTGAGAGAAAGAAGACTGGATGCATAATTTATTCCAAATCGCTATAAAAATTCTCTTGTGCTCTGTGTTGTTTTTTATCTGTGGTTGTTTCTAATTATTTCATATTATATGCTGCATTGTTTTATTTTCTCGAAATATTTGTGCAACTCTATTAACCATTTAACCCCCCTAGTGTTGCAGTCTCATATCCCAACAAAAGATCCATAAATCCAAATATTCACTACCTTCTTTCTTGTAGAAATCATCTTTGAACTATAGCCATTTTACAATAACCATCTTTGATTACTTATTTGTATATAAAACAATTTTAACTGGTTTTTTTATTGCAATTAACCGCCTTGACTCACTTTTATCATAACAATTAGTTGTTAAATGCCAAATTAATTTGTTAGAGATGATTCTTAATTGAGGTTAAATGTGATCAATTTCTGACAAATTGATTGTAAGTTAATCTAAGTGTTTGATTGCAATAAAAAACCCTATATAGATGGTTTTATGTGTAAATTAAAATTAAAATCAATTTCTATAGAATAATCCTATTTTAAAGGTGGTTTCCATGCAAAAATCCTAGAAATAATGATAGGATTACTGAAGGAAACATACCTAATTTGATGTAACCAAGGGGGGAAACTCTTCAAAACTTATGCACGAATTAAGCGTATTACTTTATTCTATTCTATGTAATCTATATATTTAGATCTATGTGTGCTTGAATTAATGAAGCTGTAACTATTTTTCATTTTCGGCTCGCTCATCTCCTTTGGTACTTCATACTGAATGCTAATTTGTTGAAGTGTTGATTGGGATTTGTAATAACATGATAATTACTCTTACAATAAAGCATGAATATTGAAATGTTTGTATTGATCCCCTGTGTTAAGCTTTTAATTAAGAGGTCCTGAGAAACTATCGAGAGTGTGGAAGCTCTCTTTTCTTTGAATTAAGATCCTATTTGCATATACTTGTTTGTTTATACTCTTTGAGCTTTTTTTGCCAGTAAAATTGTGATTCACGCTTTTGAAAAAACAATAATAATGACGTGAACGGTTCGATCAATTTAATTGAACTCTTAACTAGAACCAAGTAAAATTTGGAAGGAATTTAATAGCAAATATGTAATGAAGTAACTAATCTATTGTGTGCCATGAATTCAAATAATTCCATAAAATATCCTTATAATTCGCATATAGTTGGAGAATTATGAAAACTGTAAATGGGAAATTAAAACTAAAAAAAAACCGAAAAAAAAAACCATTTTAACTCCATCCATCAGTGTTCTTTATAACTACCCCTATTAACACCACTAACAATTTTTAATATTCCAACTTACTCATTCATCCCTTTAACCTCTCATTATTATTTAACCCTTAAACGTTGAGATATGTACGCACACATAGCGAGCACAAAAAATACCAGTGTAATTTAAGGCATGTACTAGAGAATATAATATTTTTGGTGGGATTTATTTTATAGATTATGAAAAATCCCTCAACGACCCAAAATATGAAACCAATAGGAAAGACAAGTGAAGTGTCCCCCTCCTATTGGATAATGAGTTGACACTTGGCCATCATTAATGATGACCAACTCATTATCCAATAGGAGGGGGACACCTCACTTGTCCTCTCTATTGGTCCCATATTTGGGGTCCCTGTAACAAAACTCATAGATTATTAGCAGAACCATTATGTAAAAGATGAGCGCATTTATAGAGGTTATGTATTCATAGAAGGCTAGAGATTACTTTTATTCACTTAAAATAAAAAATGACCGATTAAGTTGATTTAGCCATGTAACCTAGGCTGCTAAATTCGCCATATTAGAAAAATGATAAGATTATAGTTAGGACATCAAGGACCGAAGTTAGACCTAAAATGAACTTCGTTGAAAGTAAAAAAGGAAAGATGTGAATTTCCTCAGAATTGTGAAATTAAAGCTTTGTGGTTGTTTTAATTTAATTTTTTTTTAATATTATTGCAAAATTGATTTACTTTTCTGTAACTTACCCAAAAAAGTTGAAGTAGACAAGTCCAAACACAAAGGTGGCGGTTGGCAAGGGTTAAGTGACGGGTCGAAGAGTCTTAACCCCTTCTTAATCTCCCAAACACAAAAAATCTTCACAAATGTTAAAATGAGTTAAACCTCTATAATTTGTAAAATATAAAAAAATACAGAATGATTTAGCTAACCCCTCTAGAGGGATTAAAATGAGTTAAACCTTCAATAACACTCCTATGTAGAAGGATTGAGAGTTAATTCCTCTAATTATAAAGAAAATGGTCAAAATCCCTTTTATTCTCAAACACTAAAAAAACCATGAGGGCTAAAATAAAACATATATAACGGATTAATAATTTAGTCATTCGGATAATCGAATGGGATAACTATGTTAATCATTCTTCTTAATCCCTCTTTCTTAACCCTTTGCCAAACGTGTCCAAAATGAATAAAAGATAAAATTATACTATTTTAGTTTCACTCCTTTAGCACTAATATATCCTAAGTTGTATTTTGTAGTATTTATACACCCTTAGTTGGTCAAAATTGGGACGTTAACCCCCATACGATTTGCAAACATGAAAATTTCCATCTGAAGTTCCCGTATTATATTCATATATTAATTTTAAAGTGTTTAACCATTAGTAACTACTAAATTACTATTAAGCCTATCCAAATTGTAATTAAAATGCATCATAATTCTTTTTAAAAAAAATAGAATTTGGAAAGATTTAATGATGAATCCAACAAGCTTAAAGAGACACAAAGTTATGGAATATTAGTATATAAATGTTATATACGAAAACTTTCGGATAAAAATTTTCAGGTTTGCAAAACATAGATCATTAATGTGCCAATTTTGATTAAATACAAATGCTACGGAATACAAGTGCTAACGGAGTGAAACTAAGAAGGTATTTTTAAGTGTTATCTAGCCATGAATAAATGTTGTCCACCCTGGTTCCCACTCCCTCCATTATCCTCATCCAGTGGCTATGCACAGCAACAAAACGAGCCCACCATTTTCTCTCACCTCAACTCTCTCTTTCTCTCTCTCTCCTAGCCCCCACACTCACCCCATTCTCTGTCCTCAATGGCCGCTGCCGCCACCACCACCATCAAACTCCCCACCTCCGCACTCCCCTTCTCATCCTCACCTAAGTTCCACCACCACCACCCGACCCTCATACCCATCAAACGACAATGCCCAAAACATGTTCGAAGAATTGCGTGTAAGGCCACTGAGGTGTCTAATGTAGAGGGAGGACAAGCCTCGGTGGCCTCGGCCGGGGTTTCGGGTGATGGCAGGAATTGGGTACCTGTTGTTCCTTTGGCTGCACTTCCTAGAGGGGAGAGGAGGGTGATTATACAAGATGGGGAGACTATACTGCTTCTCTGGTATAAGGATGAGGTTTTCGCTATTGAGAATCGGTCGCCCGCTGAGGGGGCTTATAGTGAAGGATTGTTGAATGCTAGGCTCACTCAGGTGATTTCTTAGTAATATGTAATTAGATGCTAGCATGATGCCGATGGAATCTGGTTAAAATTCATCTTTTATTTGTATTAGAATGTTAATATGATTGTTTTCGGTTTAAATTATTGGCAATTGCTAAATGTTGATTGCCCATTTAGGAGGATTTTGAGCAGGAGTTGGGAATTTCTCTGCACGTAGTGTTAGATTTAATGGATGTCTGACTGTGGTTATTCCAGCACAAATTATTTTAGCCGCCAAAAGCAAGTGGGCTCATATGCATTCATGGGTCACTAATGAACAACTTAAGCTTTGAGGTCATTGCCGTATCACATTGACCTTAGCTAGAACAACTCTTATTCACTGTCTAGCATACTATTCGTCATCAACTCTCTCTTATATTGAGACAAAGTAGTTGTAGTACATCTATATATACAACTTATTTGTGTTGTTAACAGAGATTGTTTACAGAAGGTGTAGTCGTTAGTTGTTTCTACTAGTGTTTGCATTACATCGTATCTTGATGCTTGCAGTTGGAAAATGAGATCAGTGCATATGTTATACTTCGAGCAGCTATAGACACCCCTGAAAGTTTGTTTTTCCTTCAATTTATCATGGATAAAGAGGAATCACATGATAGAACTTTGGCCATGACAACTTCTAGCCCCTAGGACAGTCCTACACTTTCTTTTTCTGCTGGACTATTTCATTTGGAAGTCCTTAACGCACACAACACTATTAAAACCTGGCGGAAGGCTCTTTTATTGATACAAATGCCATCACATAAATGGACTTGGCTAAAAATCAGTGTAAAAAGCATGCTCATTTGGGATGGTCCACTAGAAACAAGAGGCAATAGACACCATAAACCAAGCTAAATCATACAATCTAGCTGATGTGACTAATCTTTTTCTGTGCTTATCCTCACATTTCTTAGGTCCTTATACTTCTAGGACCTTGTCAGAATAGATTTTCACTTTGGCTGTATTCTGCATAAATTTAAAAATCCTGACATTTATAACTAAGCACTGAAATATATCAGTAACATTATCAGACATACGCTATGTAGATAAGAATTACGAAATGCTTAAATAGCTATTGATCAGACTTTAAAAAAAAAAAATTGGCTAGTCCACTGAGGTTCTAGCTTTGGTCGCCAGTGGTGTCAACTAAGAAATTGCTGGAAAGGAATATTGCTCAAGGATAAAATTATTTAGAGTGCTTAACCAATTCCAGACATATGAAATTCCAATTTACTTTGAGTTAGTATGGTGCTATGGCACATGGTTGTCTAATACTGGATTTGGCACCAATTCATATAGGATATCGGTTCATCTTATCATAAATTCAGTTGACTATTCAGCGATCGTTTCTGACTCTGAATTTATGCTCCATGTGACCATAACCAGCCATATTTCCTGGGAATGACATGGATGATGATGACTATGGCAGCTTAGGAATGTCCTATGGGGGCTTGCTACTATTTTCTTTATGAAACTGATGATCTTTATACATATGCTAACAATTTTCTTTATGAACTAAATTAGTATTTTTGTCCAGGAGGGTTGTATTGTTTGCCCAACCACAGATAGCACATTTGATCTGCGAACAGGAGAGGTAAAGGAGTGGTACCCCAAAAATCCTGTCTTGAGGGCTCTTACACCATCTTTAAGGTCCCTTTTCATTTATCCTGTGAAAACTGACGGGGAGAACATCTATATCAGCATAGGCGATGCCATTGCATCCGGAGGATCTGCTGAGATTGTTTTCAGTGGCAGAGCTCAACCCGGCGTAACTGCATCAGATGTCAATATTGAAGAGGTATGTTCTTTGCCTGCCCTCTTTTATGATTAGTTCTTCGTACATTTATGAATGCCTTATATAATGACACAAACTAATTTTTGAAGAGGGAACTATGACTTTGTATGATATCTATATCCTGCTAGATGTTGCTAGGCGTTTGGCTTTGGTTTTCTGCATGGGGTTACTGCTTCTCTGATAAGATGAACCTAACTCTCCACCAGTGACGGATCCAAATTTTTTCCTATGGGGGCACTATATGCAATCACACATATAATTTAATAAGAGTTATGTGTGAGCGGACGTGGGCCCCCACCCACGTGACAATTCTGTCCGCGTACGAAGAGAACAAAACCGACTCGGTTTCGGTTTTGATGTTCCGCATGAAGCCCACGAACGAAGGCCCACGAATCATTTATATATAACACTTGATTTGTTTGTTTTAGGTTTTCGTGCAAGCTAAGGAGTTTTTTTTACAGAATTCTGCAGTCTCTTCTTTGTTTTTTTTTGCAGCCTTTTGTAGAGAGATATTGTGAGGGATCTGAGAGTTTATGTGAGGGTTTAGATTGTGAGTGATTGTAAACCCTAGTTGTAATCTCTCCCTCTAATAGTAGATCTCCCCCCTCCTTGCCCCGTGGACGTAGGCAATTTGCCGAACCACGTAAAATTGGTTGTACTGTTATTTGAGTGATTTGTTTTGAGGTTCCCTCGACGCGCAGTCCTAGAGCTGACGAGAGGAAGAGCTAATATCCCACTTTGATGGGATATTAGAGCTGACGAGAGGAAGAGCTAATATCCCACTTTGATGGGATATTAGGCTTCAGATTCTTGTTCCTTTTGAGAAACAAGAATTTTGATGGGATATTAGGCTTCAGATTCTTGTTCCTTTTGAGAAACAAGAATTCTTATTACGACCTGACTCTATTGTTGTGCTGTCGAAGTGCTGCCGAAATTTCCGCTGCGCACAACAAGTGGTATCAGAGCCCAGATTTCAGATCTAGGATTTTTTGATGGAGGAAGATTTTTTTGTGTGAAGCTTGGTTCTTGGAGTTCTAGGCTTCGGTGGAAATAGCATTAGGAGTTGCCGTTGGAGATTTCGCTTGAAGCTTGGTTCTTGGAGTTCTAGGCTTCGGTGGAAATAGCATTAGGAGTTGCCGTTGGAGATTTCGCTTTCCTCGTGTGGATAGGAGATCTTCGGTGGAAATAGCATTAGGAGTTGCCGTTGGAGATTTCGCTTTCCTCGTGTGGATAGGAGATCTATTTGAAATCCGATCAAGGGTTCAGTTGGGTGGTTCCTAATTTTTTATCAAATTTGTTCTTTCTCTACAATTTGGAGTTAGTTTGTAATAGGAGAAGAAGGTGAAAGCAGCAAGTCAATGGCGAGTACAATACAAGTTGGTTTTTAGAACACTAAGATTAGTGTGGTGAGGTATGACGGAAAAATCAACTTTGGTTTGTGGATGAGCGACGTACAAGATGCGCTCAATGCTCAGAATTTGGAAGAGACCATCATGGTCCACGAGAGGCCACCTAAATATGAAGAGGCGGTATGGGAGAAGATGAATAGAAACGCTTGTGGGGTGATCAGGTCCTGTTTGGAACAAGCGCTGAAATATGATGTGATTGGGGTGACGTCTGTAATGAAGATGTGGGAAATTCTCAACAATAAGTATCTCACAAAGAGTGTTGAGAACATGTTGCACTTGCTGCGAAGACTCTTCAGATTTCAGATGTCCAGAGGCACCTCGCTAGCGGCTCATGTGAACAACTACACTAAGTTGTTGTCAGACTTGGCGAATGTTGATGAGAAGATATCGGATGAGTACAAGACGATTATTTTGTTGGGCTCCTTACCGGATGAGGAGTATGATACCTTCGTGCTCACTTTGTTGAACGGGAGATCTTCTATCAGCTATAGTGAAGTGACTAACGCTTTGACGAACTACGATTTGAGGAGGAAGGACAAGGAGACTTCCCGTGCTAGTACTTCAGGAGAGGCCTTGTCGACGAGAGGTAGAAGCCCATATCCGAAAGGTGGTAATAGAGGAAGGTCAAAGTCTAGAGGCCGTCACCAATTAGCAAAGAACCAATATGTATTCTGCAAGGAGCAGGGACATTAGAAGAGAGACTGCCCGAAGCTCAAGGAGAAAGAGAATGACAAGAAAAAGGGCTCGAAGGCCAATGATGTGAATATTACGAAAGGCGATGATTCTGATGATTCGTGCTTTTCTCTACTAATTACTCCGGAGGTGAACCATGTGGATGCATCAGATTGGATGCTTAATTCCGGCGCTATTTTTCATGTGACCCATAGGCGAGACTGGTTTGCATCTTTTGAGAAAGTCGACGGGGGCATTGTTGTCATGGGAAATGATCAATCCTGTGGCGTTTGTGGGATAGGTACCGTACGGATTAGGATGCACAATGGAGTAGTCCGTGAGTTGAAAGAGGTGAGATTTGTTCCTCAACTGAAGAAAAATCTTATCTCAGTTGGAGCTTTGGAGGCGAAGGGATTCAAGGTGACTTTCGAAAACGCTGTAGCGAATGTTACTAAGGGATCATTGGTGGTGATGAGGGGAGTCCGTAATCGGAATTTGTATTATCTGAAGGGAAGCACCGAGATTGGCCAGGTTGCTTCGGCTATTTCAGAAGCGGACATGAGCAGACTTTGGCACTATAGATTGGGGCACACAGGTGAAAAGTCACTGTAGGCATTGTGCAAGCAGAGGCTATTGAAGGGAGCCAAGAGTGGGAAGATTGAGTTCCGTGAGCACTGTGTTCTTGGCAAGAAGACGAAGGTGAAGTTCGGGACTGCCATTCATCAGACGAGGGGCATCCTGGATTACGTGCACACAGACGTTTGGGGTCCCACCAAGACTGCATCACTTGGTGGTAGACATTGGTTCGTCACTTTTGTAGATGACTATTCTAGGCGTTGTTGGGTGTACACCATGACGAAGAAGAGTGAAGTCCTAGATTTGTTTGTGGAGTGGAAGAAGAGATTGGAACTACAGACTGGGAGAAAGATCAAGACGTTGCGATCCGACAACGGTGGTGAGTACACATCAGACCCCTTTCTGCAGCTATGTCGAGACGAGGGCATAGAGAGGCACTTCACAGTTAGTCATACACCGCAGCAAAATGGGGTGGCAGAGAGGTTGAATCGGTCTTTACTGGAGAAGATCCGATGCTTATTGTCGCAGAATGGTTTGGAGAATATCTTTTGGGCTGAGGCACTTACATATGCGAGCCACCTCATTAATAGGCTGCATTCATTTGCGATTGAGGGGAAAACCCCTATGGAGATGTGGTCGGGAAAGCCAACACACGATTATGACCAACTCAAGGTATTTGGGTGCCATGCATATTATCATGTTAAAACTGATAAATTAGAACCTCGAGCTAGGAAGGCCATATTTGTAGGATTCAAGCGTGGTGTCAAGGGATACAAGCTTTGGGATCCAGTGGATAAGAAGATTGTGCTGAGTAGAGACGTCACATTCGATGAGGCTTCTATCTTGAAGCTTCCCAGCTCTCATCAGGTGGAGAGCGATCCGACGGAGGAGATATCGCAGGTGGTGGAGATCGATGCAGCTCCACATTGTCCAGATGGTACAGTATCCATGCAGGTGCCGACTGAGGTGACGCCAGGCGAGCACGACGGTGACACGGAGGATACGAGTACAAATGTGCAGGATCAGGAACCGACGGCTCAGGTTCAGGATTCTATTGCGGCTAGGAGACAGAGGAGAAACATACAGATGCCAGCACGGTATGCCGACACAGTTGCGTATGCACTTCCGGTGGAGAGTATCGATGAGTTAGTGCCTACTACATTCAGAGAGGCCGAGCAGAGTTCGGAGGCTGATTCGTGGCAGGTGGCTATGCAGGAGGAGATGGAATCTCTTCATAAGAACGATACATGGGAGCTTGTTGAGCTTCCAAAGGGGCGGAAGGCAATTGGTTGCAAGTGAGTATACACGAAGAAGGAGGGCATTGAGGGCACTCCAGTGAGATTCAAGGCTAGGTTGGTTGCGAA